TTGATAGTATAGTTGATTTCTTAGTTTTTTAAGATACTCATATTTGATATGCCTTGTTATTAACAAATATTAACTACTCTTATTTAAATCATTATTTAATGTAGGGGTATATTAGGAAAAATAAAAGAAAAATTTGTATTTCAACTATATTAATTACATTTTCTTAATCTACGTGAGAATGGAAACAAGCATATCCTTGTTGGACCGACTGATTAATATTTAATTGGGTCAATAAATTGAGCATTAAAAATTGAAATATTGTAAATGCATTTGATTATAAAGAGTTGGTTACTCTTTTAAATAGATAATAATTCACTTTTAAAAAGCCACTTGTAGCTGCTTTAATGCTTAAAAATAAGCTCTAAAACTGTATTTTAACTTTTTAAAATGGAGAGTGAGTTTAACTCTCTAAGTTTAGAAAGTCAAACCAACTCTCCATCCTTAATTTACAATGATTGTATTTAATAAGTCACGTATTTTAATATTTTATTTTTTAAAAAAAATAATTCGAATCATATTTGAATTGATTGATCATTGACATAAATGAGAATAAATCAATAAATGTTTTTTTTGTGAAAAACAAAATGAGGAGCTACAATGGAAATGATTGTTGGAGTGTACAAAAAATTTTACTCTCTAAATTTAAAGGTGCTATCTATTATGCATGAATGTTCATTATAAATAAAGAATCTCTTGAAAATGTTCTTAATGATAAATACAAACATAATGACAAGCATAACAAAACATAAAGTTAAGTGACTTTTTTTGAAACGAATTGAAGAGTTATTAAATTAAAATAGGACTTGAGGTTCGATAATGCACCAATTAAGCTCATGTTTGGTACTCATTATTTTAACTCTCTTTTTATTACAAGATCATTTTTAACCAGACATTCATATAATAAAATATTTTGTATGTGAATCGAAAAAAAATTCTTACTTTTTAACCATACATTATCCTAAAAATACTATTCAAAACTCTTTTTTAAAAAATAAAAAAAGGGGGTATCAAATGGGGCTAAGAATCAATTCTCGAAGATTTGCACACATTTAATGGTTTATCCTTGATAAGGTATTACACAATACAATTAATGAACTTTACCCATATTTCTCTTATTTAGTCGTATTTGATTTTATTAAAAATTAGATTTCTCTTATTTAGTCGTATCTCTTCTATATAATAAGTGTGTATGAAACGGGAAATCTTGTTTTCCATCTACAGCTCTACTGCCGTCAGCTCTCTGCCGTTAAGTTCCATCTACCACCGTGAAATGAAGTATGTTAATTAGCAATTAAGGCAGGCATTTATCTTCTGTCAGCTTAGGAAATGAAGAGGCTTGAAACTGTAATGGATGGAAAGCCTTGGATGCTATTGGAGTGGGCAGTAATCTTAGAAGCCAATTTCTTGAAATTCAAGGGTATGGTCATTCTATTTTGATTTCATATTTTGCTCCCTCATTGACAGAAGGTTTGGTGAATCTTTTAGGCACTCCATTTGCTAACTGAAATACTATATTTTGAACAGGTGAAAATAATTGATTGTGTAATAATATAGGTAGAAATCTTAATCCTGTCATGAGTTTGGATGAGTTTTACAATTGTTCATCAAATGATTGCTTATTAATAATTACTTGTGGTGGCATGATATGTACGAAAACTTGCTTTTTAGTCTAGCGGTAAATCTTCATAGCTTTTGGAGTGATGCAAATGCAAGAAAAATATGTACACTCAAGGAGAAAATCCATTTCAATTAAACCTTGTGATGTGCTGCCATTGTAAGCCCACAAATCTTGGCCTAGCAGTTTGTCTTTTTGCACAAGAATACTGCGTTAGTGGATATGTATGGGAAATTGGGGAAAATAGATTTGCGAAGAAAGTGTTTGATGAAATGATTGAAAGGAGTCCGATGTCGTGGATAGCGCTTATTGGCGGGTATGTGAGAAACGGGGAAATGGGCATGGCAATAGAGTAACATTCTGATTGGCTAAATCTCTCCTTACAAAATCCCTCTTCTCATGCGTAATAAAATCCCTCTTTTTTACGGCATTCATGCTACTGCAATTTTGTAATAAAATGATTTTCTTCTTTTTATTGGCCTATAGGTAATTTTTGGTTACCAATCTTATAAATCCTCTTTCCACTGCCTTACTTTTAATGCTTGGTTCCTCTTGCAGAATGTGGTTCTCTTCCAAGTATCCCTCAAGAAAATTGGTATTGTAAATACTGCGAGAACATGATCCTGAAGGAACAGTATGCGGAGCACAATACTAATGCCATTGATGCCGGGAGAGTTGCCGGAATCAATGCTCTCCAACAAATAACCCAAAGGTGCATACGTATTGTTGAAACAACAGAGGCTGATGCTGGTGGTTGTGCCGTTTGCGGGTTGAGTTTTTTCTCCACTCTCTCTCTCTAACTGAATTTGTATTAACATTTACTTCAAGCATTTGATAAATTGTTCACATATCTGATTCAATTGGGTGGTAATTGTAATACGCAAGTCTTTTCCGCTAATGTCATATCAATGTTGAGCTATATACTTGTTAGAGGTTTCACTCAGTACAGCTTCTATAATAATATATTTTGACCTTTTCTGTTATTTTCTTGCCTCTTTGTGATGCCTTTGGCTTCTTTTTTCCCCCTTATAAATGATTCCAGTTCGGTGCTTCCAGGGGTGATGATTTCATTGCATCAGAATTTAATGATCGTACAGTTATTATCTGTGATCAGGTATTACTATATTCTTGTGGTGTTCTTCAATGAGACAGGCTTTGAATCAAATTAAATTGCTTTTCGTTTACCTATTTCGCATGCATGATAACATTGTGGGTCATCTTTTTTAGTGCGAAAAGGACTATCATGTTGGTTGTCTGAGGGAGCAGAAAATGGATGACTTAAAGGTTCGTTGATAATGTAATCACATATTATGGTTCCTCAGTTTCCAGAAATGACTGTCTATGTGCTTATGGAATTGTCTTAGTAAATTGATGATGTTGTGCACATTACAGGAATTACCAAAAGACAAATGGTTCTGTTGCACATCATGCAGAAGTATCCACTCTGCTCTCCAGGACTTGGTTATAGATAGTGAACAGATGCTTCCAGAAGCTCTCTTGAACCTTGTGAAGAAGAAACACGAGAATAAAAGTTCAGAGGTTAATCCTGTGGTTGATATAAGATGGAGGCTTCTGAGTGGGAAGTTGGCTTCTGAAGATACCGATGTGTGGTTTTCTGGGGCAGAAACTATTTTTCATGTATTTCCCCTAGCCGTTTCCTTTTTCTCCTCTGCTTTGAAATGATTTTATGCTAATCTACCTTGTCTTTTGAAAATTTACAATTAAATGAATTGTATGACACAGTGGATATGCGTCTCTTTTTCATCTGCTGTTTGATTTGGGTCCCTCATTTTAGTTTTCTGATTGTTATATAATGTGCTTAATGAGTAGTTTCCGTCTTAAAATGTGTTACAGGAACAATTTGATCCTATAGCTGATTCCAGTACCAGCTGTCTTGATCTTATTCCGAACATGGTTTATGGATAATCGTGCCTTTACATTTAGGATAATTCTATATGTACAAAATCCTTTACTACAAGGATGAAATCGAATCGAAGTCACCGTAGTTCCTTCTCGCTTAAGGCAAATTTCGCATATTAAAATCCGCCAAGTTTTTCAGAATTTTACATTATCGTCTCAGTTTATTGCTTGAAATTCAAATTCCTGCCACTCTGTAGGCAAGAAAAGCAAAAATGGAGACGCCTTTGCTGTCATCAGGTATACTTTCCAGTTTCCAATTTCATCTTCTTCGTAAAGTTGCAAACTTTTTTATTGGATTATTTTTTTTTGGTCATAATTTTTACTTTTTAGGACATGTAAAAATATTTTGTAACAGAGAAAAGTGACAAAGGAAGTGAAAGGTGGAGCACATACGAACATGTGGGCCGTGCCAGGTCGGCAATTCCAACGGCTTCCACGGCTGGAACTGAAGTGAGCGTCGATGAAATTCGATCCGCCACTGCTTTTTCTGAACCATACCCGCCTTCT